AATCAGATGATATTTTACTAAAATGATATATTTTATAATTGTAATTATAATAATATTATATATGTATATATATGAAGTAAGTATACGTATAAAATATATATATATAAATTAAATCCTTACGTAACGTTATATATTCAATTGTCACGTAACTTTAATATGTTTAATAGTTATAATAATAATAATAATAATAATAATAATAATAATAATAATAATAATAATAATAATAATAATAATAATAATAATTACTATGATATTCTCTTATCAATGTTAGTATTAATTATATCTATAAAATTGGAGATTATTTGTATATGGTATTCCCTTAATATTAGATGATGATATTTGTTTCTTATTTTAACAAAATTAGTTTAATTGATTTTATTTGATTAAGTTATTTCTTTATTCAAATATGTTAGATATTTACATGATCTTTTAATCCATTTAGACAACAAAAATAATAATAATAATTACCGTCATATTCTCTTATCAATATTAGTATTAATTATATTTATCAAAAAAGAGATTATTTGAATGTGACATTCTTTTAATCTTAAAACTTAAGGATATAAGTTATGACAACTTATTATTTTAAAGTTTTTTATTTAAAAATGCATAATTAAACATCAAAATATTACCACAATATTCAACATAAATATTTGAAATTATTATATAAAAGAATTTATTTGAGGAATGGTTAATTAGATGTGACATCTTCTTAACCTTTAAATTTAAGATACAAGTTGTGACAACTTGATATCTTTAGATTTTATTTCCAAAAAATAAAAATATCCAACAAGAAAATCTTTTATGAAAATATCATAGTAACAATAATTTCGATAACAATGATTATAATTATAATTAAAATTTTATTGAATTGACTTTGGTGTACACCTTAGTCAATTTTATATAGGGTGAATGAGCTGAGAAAGTTCAAGAATCTTATATTTAACTAAAATAAAATTTAATTAAAAAATATCAACACACAAATATTTTCTACAAAGAACTACGTGACTCTGATTCTTCATTACATATGGAGATACGTAGGAGCAAGAAATAAATCTTGTCGAGTCAAAAAAATAAAAAATATATTATCTTCCTTTTTATATAACAATAATATTTTTAACCTTTTTAATGTATTAGTTAAGTTAGTTAAATAATTGATTATTTTAGTGAGATAAATATTTTATAAATTATAAATAATTTGTTTAATTAATTAAAGGTCTTAGGACGAATGTTGTGAGGTGCTAATACCTTCCTCACACGTAATCGACTCCCGAACTCAAAAATCTTGTTTTCGTAGACTATTTTCTTTTTTTATGGTTTTTCCAATATTTTTTTCTCATAAAAATAACATTGGTGGCGACTCCCTATTTTTTAATTTATTTTTCGCCGTTCCATCGCGATCTCAGTTGCGACAATATTATTCATACTTCTTCATCAGTTCTGACCCACAATGAATTAACTCGAATTGAGTGGACTTGATTTTATTTTACTTTTATTTTACATGCAAATATGATTTGATCAAGTTAGGTCACCTTTTGTTATACCAAAATTATTTTACTTTTAGAATGAATTATATTGACACTCCATGAAGTTATATGAAATTATAGTAATATCCTCTACCTTTTAAAGTTTAATTACACTAATTAAACCCCTTATAAAGATGATAATATAATATTTTTTATATTAATTAAAGAGGGTTAAAATAATGTATAAGAAATGTTAGTGTAATATTTTTTAAATAATTAAGATAGGTTATTGTAGAATAGAAAACTAAAATTTATTTATGTAATTTTACGAAATTTTAGGAAATATGAATGTAATTTAGTCTTAATTTTATTGATACATAATACTAATCGAATTCACCCGTTTTCGACACCTCAACCACGAGATACTAATTAAAGTTGTTGTATTTATTCAGTCAAGAGCCACTCGGGACTTCTCTTGAATTTTACTTGGTTAAAATTGCCATTTGCGTTTTCTTGTAATAAATTACAACTTAATTTATTTCTTTATTATACATTTCTTATTTCTATTATTTCTGTATAACAACACTTTTTACTAATTTCCTATTTAATTTCTGTACTTGTCTGAATAACGCACTAGTAATCTTCTCGTATTTTGAGGGCTGAATGAGAGCTCCAAGTGAATATTCTCGTGAGAGAGGATACCTGCAGAAGACATTCCGACGCTCAAGTCAGGACAAACGTGAATATCGATAGTAATTAATGAACAGTGACGTTACTTCGAGATGTGAACTATTTATAGTGACATTAATAAGCCCTGTACTAGGGTTACCTAATTAGGTAATACGTCCTTAATTAACTTATTCGCATGATTAACCCTTAATTACTATTTAGGGATGATTACTGCGTTCATGACTTACTTACCTCAAGGCCTTTTGGCCATCCAGGATGTCGATCGGGTGTCGGCTACCAAGTACAATAGGTTTTGCCGACTCGTTGCGATTCTTCTTGGCCTCCAACTGGGTCGATCCGATGTGGGTGGCTGATATGCTTTCGCCAAAATGATCCGAGCATAGTCAGTTCGGCCACATGTGCTGAGGGATGTGCCGAAGGGTATGACTGAATGACCCTACCTGTACAATTTCTATTACTTTTAGTAGGTAAAGAATTTTACTAGAATCAATATAAAGAGAATTGATGTACTTTAATTAAAAATAAAAATGAAAAATGAGGAGCCTTTAACTACCAAAAATGAGGTGCCTTGAATTAATTTTATTTATCCTTTGGATGATGCATAATAGACGCCATTTAGTGCATGAAATAAGATGCTTTTGTTTGAGTTATGACATAATCAATGAACATCTACTACATATTTTGTAACCCTAAAAAAAATATAATCTACATATCTACTGTTCCGTTGTTGTATATATGTTTCCAGCTCGTGAGAATCTTTAATGTCTGAAGATTACGCTTCACAATATATCATAGGATATTTTCCTTCATACAACAAATAAGTTATGCTTGTAGACGCAGACAAGTGGGGTCTATTCACAGATATACTAGATTTTAATCTTTTAGCAACATTTTCTTGTTTACATTTGTTAAGATGTTACTATATATTAAATAAATGTTATTTTGTAACACTTTTTTGAAAAATGTCATTATAGATAAAGTAATATTTTTTATTTTAATATTATTCTTTCTAATTGTTTTCAAAATCAAAGTCCCATATCGAGTAAAATTTTTTTACATAAGTTATTTTGCAACATATTTTTGAAAAATGTTACTATAGTTGCTTCTAAAATCAAAGTCCCACATCGAGTAAAAAAAAGATATTTCTCTTATATCTAATTGTAGTCCATAATTAAAATCCCACATCGAATATATTAATGACTTATAAAGAGTATATATACTCATATAGTTATATGTAAGATAAATGAAATTTGATATTCTATATATAATTAATGGTGACTAACTAAAAATGTATTTCCCTAAAAACTTAAAGAACTCTTAGAAGTTTAGGAGACATAAAAATATAATAATTGATGGTAATATTTAAATTAAAATTAATTATTATTTTATAAGATTAACAAAATATTGGCAACATCATTAAAATGTTACAAAAAATTATTAAAATGTTACAAAAATATTACTTTGGTAACATTTAAAAAATGTTACCTAATTATGCAAAAATGTTATTAAAAGTCTTTAGTAACATGGACTATATATAACATTTGAGAATATGTTGCTAAAACAAATTAGCAACATTTATACAGAATTAAGTAACATTTTTCAAATGCTGCTAAATACCATTTGTGTTGTAGTGATGTTTATTAAATGCAATAAAATAGTTTTTTTGTTATAAGGGCTCGATTTTCTTAGTTAAGTCCACCGTCGTTAACTACTAATTAATCTCATTAAATGTAACTCTTACCCTTGTTGCTATATTCTACCTGGTGTTTTGTCTTGAGAAAAATAATTCTGATTAGTGGGTGTTTGTACTTTAATTAATCTTAAGATCTGGATGAAGCTCAAGGTGGATGAATCTCTCACAAAGGATCTTAAGATTCATCATATGCCCCAATATCCTTTTCTACTAGTATAACATTTTGCAAGAAAATAATTTAAACATATGGCATATATTTTTCTTTTATCTACCATAATTATAATAATGAAACTAAAATTCGAATATTTAGATTAACCTAGTGATCATATGATGTATGATGGCTACTACGAAGAAGATTTATATAATTAAGCTTTATACCATTAAACCTATGCTCTGGTATATTTTGTAGTAACGTCCGCCAGAAGTTGTCGCTCATGCATGCCACCCATCACCTTGCCATATATTTAGCATTTCTTCTCCCATTACATCGTTTTTCACTCTTAAATTTTCTTGTTATGCATACATCGACTCATGCATGTCCTTGCTTATTCCGAAATATTTATACTGCACACTATTATTTACGGTTTCAAAGGCAGAGAGAGAAGCTATGACAACACAAACAAGGCATGTGAAAGCAACCCAACCAAGCAAATTAATTTGGCTTACTAAGTGTGTGTATTTGGATAAATTTTTCATAAAAGAAAAAAATAATATATTTTTTTTCATAAACTAAAACTAACTTATAGTTTTATATATAAGTAAAAAAAATGTTTCTAGATAATTTAATATTTTTTATAATTATGTTAATAGTATATAAAATATCACCAGATTCGTTAACTCATAATTAATATTCATTAAAAAATTTGACAGATCATTTTTTATAAAGTAAACTAAAATATGAATTATGAAAAAAGTTATACAAATTAGTCTAAGTATAGAATGACTTTAGATTATAAGAAACTTGTTTTAATTTTTGTTTATTATTTTTTACTGTACATTCCGAATACTAATATAAATTGAATGTTCTTCACGAAATCCGTCCAAATTGTTGCCAGCTATATACATGTGCTAAACAACAAAAAGGGTTAGAAAACTATATTAAGGGACCCTGAAGAGTCCATTTTGGGTTTGCCCTTCCACTCCATATTATATACACTATCATTAATTTGGTAGGATAAAGAAAGTTGAATTAAATTAAGAAAAATGAGTTTGAAGAAGAACAGCCCTCAAATTCATGATCACAAGGGAGGCTCTCCATACCTGTCTCGCCAATCATCCAATAATTCCAGTAGTTTTAGGGCAAAGCAACAGAAGAATATCATTGTGGAGCCACCAAGCCCTCTACTGGTTGGGTGCTGCAGAGGCTTCAGCAATGGCAAGACCACAGCCTCCACATCACACCAACAATATCTGCCATACCAAAGGCTGCAACAAAAGGTAGTGTATGCATTCTATTTGTATCTCTTGCTTTTGTTTGAGGAGGAGTGTCCATACATGCATGAATGCTTCTAGTTGAATCAAGAGATTAATTTGAAAAAACTAAATTAATATACGCGTTAAATTAGATTATTTTTGGATATATTAATAAAAATTTAATGTGAGTATAAAGGTATAGCTTAAGAGATTAATAATAATACTAATAATAGAAAAGGTAAGGCTTTAATAAATAAACGTGTAACATAGAACTATTATTTTTACTTTGTATGCCGTGGACGAAGTGTTAATTAAGGTTGGGGTACTTGGAGAAGAGTAGTGCTGGAGAGGATATTGGGTCCAATATGAGAAGGCTTTATTGGAATAACACAAACAGGGTTTTTAATGGGCTAGTTTAATGCTCTACATGGGCACTTTCCAACACACTTAACTAATATCTTGAGTTTAAATCTTATAAATAGGAGAAATTTTCTCCTTCAACAAATTCATATTTCATCCGATTAAATGAATATACATTTATCTAGCCACCTTTAATGGTGTGTATCCTTTCAATCATGTACAAAATTTGAAACTAAAATCTTACCTGAAGAGATAAGTCCAAAAAACCACTTAGACCAATAATTTATTTTTACTCTAAATGCAATTTTACATGCATGTTACATATAAATACGAAATTTACTCATTATCTTTTTTAGCAATAAAACAAATGGCTATACCTGATTCAAAATTGAAATTTGACTTTATTGTTTTATTTTTAAAAACTGAAAAACAAATTACTAAAAGCAACAAATAATCGTTAATATTATTATTATTATTATTATTATTATTATTATTATGTTTCTTAAAGGTGATTTAAATTGTTATCACACAACCCACCAGAATCAATCAAACAGTAAAATTTGAGATAATATCCATAAACTTATAAATTTCAATATTAGTTCAACGATTTTACTAAAAAAAAAAGGTAATTTATCATCACACAATTTTCTTAATGAAAAAAAAAACTTTTTTTTTGATAATTGAATGAAGAAAAAAACATTAATAATGCTCATGATAAAAAATAGGATTAAATATATTTTTAGTCTATGAATTCTTGTCAATTTTTTGTTTAATCTTTAAACAAATTTTAATTGACTTTAGTCCCATAAATTTTTTTACATGAGAAAAAAAAAATTAATACCAAAGACCAAAATGTGAACGAAAAAAATCTAAGAATTAAAAGTGAAAATTAACAAAAGCTCAAATATTAAAATTAGTAAAAAATTATTCAAGAAAAAAAATTAGCAAAAGTTTATTGACTAAAAATATTAAATCTAATAAAATAAATTTTGTTTAGTATGATATTAAGAAATATGTTGAAAGGAGATCTGAAATATGTGTCCACACAGGTGGAAGATTTGGAAAAGGAAGTGCAAAAACAGACAGAACTACGACTGATGTACAGGAAAAGAATGGAAAGGACACAAGATTATTTGAGGTATTGCCTTCAAATAGCACAAGAAAATGGAATATTGGATCTCATTGTTCACTCCAAAGGTGAACTTCAACAATCTCCACTCTCTCTCAGCTCCACTGCCAGCCCTCAAATTCAAATTCTCACTCCACCACACCACATGCATGCTCACCACCCTGATCTAGCACCCATTATTGATCAAGCAAAAATTAATGGTTGGTATATTGATCCAAGTGAGGTTAGTACTATATACATTAATTTCACTTCATCAACATATATATTCCACTCCCTAATCATGCATGCATTATGGATTATGCATTATGCATTATGCATTATGCATTGTAAACATATTTTTCAATTAATTTTGATTGAATATGTTTACTGTTCTCACCTGAGATCGGTTTGGGGACGATCATTCCGATGAGATTGGTGAACCTCTTCTCCTGAGCACGTTGATTGTACCGAGATGGGAGCAGTACTTGTAAAAAAGACTCCTCTAATGCTAAAATTAGTCTTTAATAGTGTAGATGTCTCATATTTATAACAGACGTACCTTGCTGATTTTAGGATTTTCTCTCTTTAGACGAGAGTTGGTTTAAAGTCGGCCCAACATTGACCACGAATCCCAATGACTATGGGGCCGCGCACGAGGTCAATGTCGGAGCATAATTAGGGCTGATGTAGAATCCGGTATTTCCAAATTTACATTCCTTGCACATAACTTATTAAAGTAATTACGAGGTTAAATTGTGATGCATAGGTTGAATTGGAAGAGAAAATTGGGCAAGGAAGCACCGCAGAGATTCACAAAGGAACATGGCGTGGATTTGAGGTGGCAGTGAAGTGCATATCCGAAGAATTCTTCCGCACAAACGAAAACGGCGTCGCATACTTCTCTCAAGAGCTGGAAACGCTCTCGCGCCAGCGCCACAGGTTCGTGCTTCAGCTGATGGGCGCGTGCATCCACCCTCCCCGACGCGCGTGGCTCGTCACCGAGTACCTCACCACCACGCTCAAGGACTGGCTGCATGGGCCTGGGAACAGGCGCAAAGACCGAATGGCGCCACTTCCACCCTTCAAAGAGAGACTGGGCCGGGCCTTGGAAATAGCCCAAGCCATGCAGTATCTCCATGAGCAAAAGCCCAAGCTCATTCACCGCGACTTGAAGCCCAGCAACATTTTCCTCGATGATGCCTTGCACGTCAGAGTCGCTGATTTTGGTCACGCGCGCTTCTTGGGCGACGACGAAATGGCTCTCACCGGAGAAACAGGTAAACACTATATTTTAAATATAATTAACTCATTTTAGTCTTATATTAATTAACCTAAATTATAATTTGCGATATTTTGTGAAATTAATGATGAAATTAAGGTTTTATAAAGCTTAAACCGGACTAAAGCGCAAATTTACTTCAAAGAAAAAGTTTTGATGGTATTATGGTAATCTTTGAAACTTAAAAAAAAAAAAATTACCTTTCAAAACTTTTCATAGTATACACTTTATATAAAATTTAAAAAGGTGAAAAAAAAATATTCTAAACTAATACCATCCAAAGTTAGATAGTTATTGTAACTTTTGATTTTTTGAGTGTTTGTGTTTAATAATTAACTTATTATATCATTTTAAGTCTTTAATCGCCTAAGTTAAATAAAAGAAAAGCAATGTGATATATCCTCCAAAGTAAAAAAGGTGAATAGTCCACTATTCATTAACAAATTGACACTTATTAATAATTTTATCGTACAACATTCATTTCCAGTAAAGATGTTAATTATATGTGTGGTTCAACTACTTTTTTTAGCTAATATTTTTGGAGAATTCAACATTTTTCATAAAAGAATATTCATTTTATATGGGAAGGCTTGAGATCAAAGATTGTGTATCCCCCAAGTTTTCAATTGACCAATGACTAACTGACTTAATAGGTATGATCGGTCGATTTTCAAGTAAGATGTTGCCAAATGAAAATAATTATAAGTATATTGTTGTGTATTATCTTTATTTGAATTGTGTAAACTAGCTAGATTCTTTTTATTTTTTGAGAATGTGACTTTGTAATAATATTGATTTTGTTTGTGTTACTTTTAGGAACATATGTGTACATGGCACCGGAAGTAATTTGTTGTGAACCTTATGACGAAAAGTGTGATGTGTACAGTTTTGGGATTATATTGAACGAACTACTAACAGGAAATTACCCATACATTGAGACAGAATATGGTCCAACCAAGGTATATACCATCACACTAATCTTGAGTTACCCAGTTAATTTTATTGAATCTTCATATAAACATTTAATCGACTAGTTTAATGTTAATATCAATCATATGACAATTTAAAATGTCACTTTATTTTGATGAAATGTTTGATGTTATATTATTAGATTGCAATGGAAGTTGTGGAGGGTAAATTGCGGCCTAAGCTTGTAGACGATGAAATTAAGCAAATGGGAGAGCTTATTGACCTTATTTGCCTTTGTTGGGATAGAAATCCATCTACTCGACCATCCTTCGCTACAATCACCTTTTGCCTCAAAAGTTACACCACAAAGAATCTCCTTTAAACCTCATCTTAATACATTCAATTAAGTAAGTATGAGATAAAATTTAAGTAAATTCTTTAAGTATCAAAATTAGAGATTTATTTTAATAATATGCATAAATATATATTAATGAGATCTGCATTAAATATAAATGCATATTATATAAATAAATTTTTAATTCTATTTAGAGAATATCACGGTACTTGAAAAATTGTACTTAAATTTTACCCTTAATTTTCTTCGACACAATTGCTTTGTTACCTTGATTTCTTGTACACTTGTTTACTCGAGTAGTTCAATTAACTACACCTTTGAAAAAAGAAGATTGGAAGAGCTTAGTAGGATACAATATATGCATGAAAAGGTGCTCACAGATTTCTAATATATGGGCCTCAGTACTACTGTTTGAAAGAAAGATTGAAATTCTTGTCTAGATTAATTTAATTTAATTACGTCATCGGATGATATGAATTTCTGTAAAGGTAGTCTAACTATATATTGGTTATTAAGAGTTAATCACCTATACACTGTTAGTGTAAAGTTTTTTTACGCTCGCAATCAATTATATTTTTTAATTGTGTCATGTCACTATAAACACATTTACTTTAACAGTGACATAACACAATTAAGAGATATAATTGGTTACCAGTGTAAAAAATTTTTATACTGACAATATATAGATGATTAACTCAAATTTAAATAATATTACAGTATGGTCTTCTTCTTATATTGGAACTTCGTTTCTACTGACAAATTTTCCGATGCATATGATATGAATTTTAGCATAAATTAAATAATCAAAATTGATTTTTATTGTAGTTGGCATTCCTTTGCTGCCATTAATTTGTAGAACTTATCTAGACTTTGGTGAATCAATTAATTAATGATCAGATTCAGGGTAGGACCATTTTGTTTTTTGTTTTTCATTTTTCCTTCCCTTACAATATAATCCATCTTGAGCTTCTGATCTTTGTGCATCATCCTCATCTTTTTTATTTTTTCCCTTTTGGATTAAGAATTTCGCAACATGGATGATCCTACCAACTCATTATTCCTCCATCACTCTGATGAGCTGGTTTGGTCCTTGTTTTTCATCCTCTCAAAGGCTCAATGTGGGTTGGCCCATTAAACCCATAGTCCATAGGCCCCAACTTGACGAAGTTTGACTAATTTAGATGCAACATTATAAGTTGGATCATCTAGCTTATGCATTGAAGATCCGCATGGCAGCTTTTATATTCTCTCAGTTACATAATAAGTATCTAATAAGAATAAAACTTAAATTAATTTTAAAAATAAGTGTTATTTTAAAATTTTAATGTAGTATTAATTGTCTCTTTTTTACTTATACTCCTAATAATATCCTTTGAAAAGTTGTTGTATTACATTATTTCTAATAACAAAGATTAATAAAAAGATTATTAGTTTTGTAAAATATTATTTTCTTTTATCCACTTATTATTATTTTTATTTATGTAAAACAACTTAAAATTTTTTTTATTAAAAAGAAATAGTACTTCTTAATTCTTAACCATGATAATTGAGTCTTATAAAAAAATCAGAGAGTATCTATTAAATTAAGACAACTCATTATTAAATAAAAAAAATGTTATCATTAACGTACAATTTCTATAAAGAATATAATATTTTTTTTTAAAAAAAAAGACAGTTGCACCGAGATGAATGAAAGTCTAATTTGAATTTTCTTTATAAAATCTAAACCCATCAAAATTATGTTCAGACTAATTCAAACTAATGAAAACAAGAACACTCCTAATCTTTCCTAAAAATTCAGGCCACCAAAAAACTTTATAAATTTTATCCTAGTTGATCCAATAATACAGTGTTGAACAATTGACACAACCCATAGGCCATAATCCATAATCCATATAGCAAGAAAGCTGCATCACTTAACAGCATAGGGACCCAAGTGATGAGTCCCAGATAAGCCTATCCCCATTCCCAAGGTAGAACATCTGCCACGTCATCCGAAAATCTCCATTCTCCACCTCACATCTGATTCCACATACCACTATCTAAAAACCTTAATTAACTCCAACAAGTCTCAGAAGCAAAACGACACACACAAACAAAAGAAATGGCTTGTGTTTGTGTTTCAATGGCTTTGCCTCTTCGATCCACCAAAACCCTTCCATCCTCATCAGAAGCCTTCTTGAAGAGGAGTGTGGTTAAGAGTTCTTCATCAGAGGCAAAAGCACCGAATAGCATTGAAGCGTTGTCTTTGAAGGAAAAAGCAGTGAAGGGTCTCACAGCTGCAGCGTTAACGTCCTACGTGGTGATGCCAGAAGTGGCTCATGCAGCTGGAAACGACTTCTCACCTTCCCTCAAAAACTTTCTCCTCAGCATTGCCGCTGGTGGAGTTGTGCTCGTAGCAATATTGGGTGCTGTCATTGGAGTTTCCAACTTTGATCCAGTTAAGAGAACTTGAATAAGTGCTCTTTTAATTTGCTCTCCTTTCACTGTTTCAACATTTCCATGTAGTTTGTGAAACTGTTTATGATACATTATTTGCTATATGTTTGTCTATATCGCAATCCAACATCATGTGACTTTGGACGACCAAGGTTTTCTGTAGCACTGTGTACTGTTTATTGCGTACGTGTCTTGGATGTGAGAAGTTGAAGAAACTTGGGATTTCTTTATATGCTTTTAAAACAATTCTATATTGCTTAACAATTTGAGAAATTCTACTGTATCTATAAATTTGAGGGCTTAATATATAAAGTATGAATCAAGTTTGTGAAAGAGTAAATAAACAATGAGATTAGAGCATCTCCACAAGCAACCCCCGGAGATGTTCTTAGTAGAGAAAGATTTATGGTAAAGGATTTTCATGTTTTAAATGGTCAGCTTTATAGGTTTTTTTCGCTTAGAAAAAAGTTTATCATTATGGTTTCATTGATTGGATTAATATGAGAATTCAATAAATCTATGAACATGGATATGAATCTAATGTTCATTTTGTTCTTATTAGTTTTCAAAAATTGAAGTTTTGAAAAATTCAATAAACCTATAAATTGAAGTGTTTCAAAACACTTCGATTTATAAAATTACCGTATCCTATCTAGCTAATATTTATTATGTTTTGAAAATTATTTGTAAAATAAGTATTTAGAAAAAAAATCTCATTTTCTTCTTATGTTGTGATCTTAGTTGAAAAGTAAGTCATAAAAAGTGGTGAGGTATGAATTGCCTTAATTTTATTTTAGTTTTTTTAAAATAGAAATCAAACACACACTTGACTAAGGTAAAAAATATGGGTATTTTTTCTTATCATTAGAATGGTAGAGATGGGATGAAACTATATGATTATCAAGTAAGAAGTATATGACATGCTCATAATCCTTGAATCTAACACTATTATTCATTTTTTTTGGGTAATCAAAGTCAAAGTAAGTGTTGAATTTAATTTAAAATTTTATTTGTCAAATTAAGAGTCGTTAGATATCCACCAAGGACTTGATTTCTATCTTTGGAATCAAGGGATCTCTTTTAAGAAACATGTTCATCAAATGATGTTTTAATGATCTTGAAAAATGTCAAACCCATGTCATGACAAATGTAAGTTTGAACTAGATCTCTCTCCATTTATACTAATCACCACATAATGGTGAGTGTGAATTCTGTCTTTACACTAGAATTTTATGAAAATAATACTATGTAGAACCCAAGTTGAATAGGAGTTATTAGTTTTTATATAAATGTCATTTATAATCTCTTTATAAACTTCCCTTCAACTCATTTTAGCAAGCTTATAAAATTTATGAATACCTTCATATTAAATTAGTGTTCAAGTTAATTTCTTTATCGAGTGCGTCCTTTATTTTTTGTTCAACTTATGCGTGAATCAAAATAAGAAGTTTGTTTCATGAGTTCATTACTTGGAAATCCGAGAAGCATTATTGGAATAACAATGGTAAGATGTTGATTGAATTTATTTGATTGATGTTCTTATTGTTTTGAATGTCCAGTCCTCCCAATATTTGTATTCTATACAGCAAATTCCCACATACTCTAACACCAATATACAAATGAAATCACGCACGCATGATGATATTATAATATGCGTGGATTACAAAAATTGAATGTGCCATCTCATTATTATTAACTTTGGAGTTAAATCTGGACTGTACGGCGCAATGCTTTTGATGTGAGAGTCAGAGTATGCAAGAGTTTCCGTCATTCTATGGCTTCAAACCTTAGAGACGAAAAGCCATGCCATGTCCAGGAACAAATCTAGCATTTTCTTCCGTGTACACGTGAGTTTCATTCTGTAGCCTGAATCAACGATTCAAAATAATTGATGTCAATAAAATTACCATGTTTAAATTAACATCTCAATTGATCAGGGAAAGTTAACTTGGTATACATGATCTTAAGTTTTATTTGAGATTATTTTAAAATGTAGATTTTAACTTAATTCATTTCTATAAAATTCGCACACTCCCCACACCGAGAACTAAACATCGTAAATATCAAATATGCATGATTAAACAACTAACAAAAATTATTATAATAAATTTTGATATCATGGTATTAAAAAAGTAAATTTGGACTTAACTTATCTTTATAAAACTAATTTATAAGATTGAAATCGTCATCTACTTATATACTTTTTTTTAGCTATATTACTATAGATTTGAGATTTTCAACAAAATTCTTGGATTTGGGTTTGAGTTGGAAGTGCTTACGATTGGTAAACAGTTTTGTTCATGGTGGTAGATGAATGGAACCAAGCACCATTGAGATAGAGAAGTTCCCCATCTATTCTTGCTTCGATTCTTCTGTCCATTTCTTCAGCGCAAATCGATAGTGGTTGATCTGAAGCCTGAATTGAAGCACAGAAATTCTTATGAACAATATTTAAGAGTACTTCCTTTTAGTCTCTCATATTACATATAGTTATTTTTATACATCAGATACTTTAGGACTAAATTTATTAAAATCTTATTTTAATTGCTGGCTTAAAAAAAATGTAATTCATGGTTTTTTTTTTTGTTTTTTTTTTTTATCAACATTAAGAATTATCGCGATTCATGTTTTCTAAAGTCGGAATTTTAAGTAAAATTTTAATGTCAATGACTAGAACAAGACTTTCGTGGTGTATTTAATTATAAGTACAAAAAGAAACACGGCTTGGTTTTCACATACCATAACCCATCCCCATGTGTCGGCAAAAGATGGAACATGAGTCGTATATGCAATCACATCTGCACCCAAAAAATATCTTAGTTTCAGTTCAAACACTATATATCCTTGTGCTCTGTTAACCCTGTTAATGATATGTGAAGTTCAATCACACAAATGGTTGAATTAGATAGTCTTACATTTGAAGACTTGTTTGATTGTGTTATATATAGAAGTGAAGACCTCCTTGTGTGTGAATATACCTGCTGGTCCAGCCTACAAATTATGCAAAAGAAAAAAAGTTGTCAAACTTTGTTGAGTTGGTGAGTAGAGAAAAATGATTTAGAGCCTATTTGAATGAAAATTAAAAACATTTTTTAGAGTTTCTCTAGAGAGTATCTTTTTATATATAAATTCTCAAAAATATTTATAAATTTGTATTTAAACATATTCTTAAAAACGAGTTTGATAATATGTCATATAATCTACCTGGGTCACAAAAATGCCATTATCATTGAGTTTGGGCTTCAGGATTTTCTCATAGAAGGACTTGGTGTAGAGTTGATAGCAAGGCCCATCTTCAAGTGGGTCTGCCAAATCTCCAATGATGATATCAAACTTCTCCTTTCTCTTCTCCAATTCAGCCCTTCAAAATGAAAATTTTCATTCTTTGTAAGTGTTGGACTAAAGAATATACAATTCATTAAAGTCTGACAAAATTCATATTATCCAATAATATAGTTTTATGGTTGAAAAAAAAATCATAAATGAAAGGTAAAATGTCAAAATCATTTTTAAAGAAAGCAAGTTATTACTTACTTGGCATCATTGATGACAAGGTCGAGCTTCTTATGAGAAAATGCCTCCCTATTTGCAATCAAGTATTTTCGACAGAAATCCACCACCTCCTGCAAGAATTAGCAGTCAAAATTTCATTGCCATTATTATTTGAGCATCTTCATCATTCTTTAAGAGTAGCTAGGTTATCATATAAATTCTTGTTGTAACGTTGACATCTTACTAACTTATCCAACATTCACTTGTTATTATAATACTTTATAAACTTGCCACATTTGTTGTGCAAACCAACAACAGTCAATAATATTTTATAATTGAGTGCCCATATTTATATATAAAATAAAACAAAACTTAAATGCAATATTATAAATGATGTCAATATTGTTGTCCAATAAAAATCAAAATTTTATTTTGATAATATATATAAATGTATACTAATAAATTTTATATTAAATGTAAATATATAAACTCTAATTTTAAATGAAGAACAACACTAATTACATATTAAAAATTATACTTAAATTTATATATATATATAATAAATGATTTTATTAGATGTTAACTTGTATAAAAGAGGAAAATTATAACTTTGATTAGAGAATGGTTGTATAAATTCTGTATTAAGAAGAAAAAAAAACATCCTTAGTCTCTGGTCCAAATCATTATATATGGATGTAATTAACGTTTGAATTTGATGAAGGGTTGAGGAGAAAATGAATAATATTAAGGTATAGTAACCAACCTTGTCTATATCGCACATGACTACTCTGTCCATTGACCTGTGCTTAAGGGCTTCCCTAGCTGAAGAACCTTCACCTCCACCCATTATAAACACGGTTTTGGGGCTGCCACAATTAGTAACATATGTCTCTTCATATTAGTCAAAGGGTTCATCAAGCAAAACCCCAATCGAGTTACCAAGAAGCATAATCATGTAGCATATATATGTGTAATCTCTCACCTAGATCTTATGAAGTAAGCATAAGAAAGACGATAAGTGGTATGTTATTATTATCCAAGATGTGTTTCCAAGCAATAATTAGTTTATGACTTTATTATAAGAATATCTATAATAAAATATTCAACAAGATTCGTGACTCAACTTAAGTACAAGTAACATTAAAAAAATCATATGGGTAAGAGTAGCATATTAGACTTATAACATACCAAGAGAAATTGAAGTATAAGTATTTCGTACTTCTAATATTTATATACAAGAAAAATATTATAAGATTGTGTTTAATTATTTAGAGAAAATATAAAATAGAGACAAAAAATAGTTACATGCTTATATTCTTTATAATAGGTATATATACGCTAAAATTGGTTGTTAAAACAAAGTTTGTTTTAAGTGTTTCTTATACAAATTTAAAATTGAATTCTAAACAATAAAAATTAAATAAATTGACCGAATTAAAAAGATTTCAGCGTATTCTCTCAACAATTTGGTGTAATAACTTTTCGGAAAAAGGGTTTTATTTTTTCATTTTTATTTTTTTTATTAACCGAGAGAGTAATACATGTGTGAATAGAGAAAAAAAAATGTTATAAAGAGCAAAACAATGTATCCTTTCGTGTTGTTCAGAAAAAATTATCTCTTGCCTTTTAATTTTTTTAACTTTCCAAAATTTCCCACAATTATAATTTATAAATACGAGATAGAGAGAGACATATACCAAACGGTCAGTGAAATTGTTTATAATATTTAACAAAATATTGCATGCATTTACAAAATCATAATTCAATATTATAAAAATAAATTTGAATTTATAATATATAGTATTTTCGCAAAGCCTTGACTCCAAACATTATGTCATGATCCCACAAGAATGATCTTAATAATGAAGGATTTGGATAATTTGTATAACGTTCTAAATTTATATTTCATTACCATTAATCGGTTATTATATATAGAAAAAGTTGAATGAATAAAACATAATGTGATAATAAACATTTTGAACTTACTTGGGGTGGCATAAAAGAGGGGGATGAATCAAGCATTCGTGATAAATGAATTCATCTGTTTCAGCACTCTGCATCTTTCCATCAAGCACCAAGGCCTGTATGCAACATTAATAAATAATTATCATTGAGTTAGTAACTAATACAATTTCTAACACATTTTTTTGTTAAAATTTATTATAAATGATAAAATTATGTGTAATACTCGTTAAATATATTGTGAAACACGTTAAATATATTTATTATATATATATATATATAATTATTTATCAGTTTTACGATTCTATCATTTTTCTTCTTCTTAAATTTAATGTAAATTGAAAAGTATGATATAAATTACATGATTTAAAAGAATGATGTGCACTTATTTAATTATTATAACTTAATATTTATTATTAATTTTTTCAAGCCCCTCTCATAAATTTCTGAATCGTCCCTGTTTTGTGTCAGTATTTTAATAACATTTCTGAATGTTATTTAAAACCTTTTGTTCCCTCTTCTTCTCAGTACTAGAATAGAAGAAAGAAATTCAGAATCTTGTATTTTTATTCTCTTTGTTCTGCCCTTAGGACAAGCAACAAGAGAGCTTGCAAACCTTTCCAAAACGCTTGGTATCTAACAGGGCAATATCCTGGTACTCGCTAATCGCTTTATGAAGCACACTGTTGAAGCAAAAGAAGAAGAAAAATGAATGAAAGAAATTAGTTAATGTAATCAAACAAAACAAACATTATGTTATATCTTTTTTGAGTGAGAATTATAACATAAAATCACTTAACTGTCTCTAACTAATAGTTATATAATACAAGAGAGAGTAGAGAAAGAAAAAAAATGATGGCAATCTTTTGTTTGATTTGGAGAAGTGAGTTGGTGAAGCAATGAGGAACCTGTTGAGTTTAAAGGACCATTTTAAATCCTCATCGATGAATTCCTCGTACCAAGAAGAATCATGGTTCTGATCATTGACGTGGTTTTGTTGGGTTTCATGGCCAAACTTTGAGAAGCCATTAATGTAGAACACTTCTGGAGCTTCACCCATGCTTGGAAAAATAATAGACAAGAGTGATTTGTGATTTCACAGAATTGGATGATGCTATTGTTACCGATGCAAATTGCAATGTAGCTATGGAATTGCAGTGTGGCAATAGTGGGCAGCACTTGCTTTTATAGCTACCCCATCATGAATTATTAATTAAATAATCATTTTTTTTTTTATCAAAAGTAAGTTATATTATTCATGCAACAATTTATATAGCACATTTTTTTTTTATCTTTTCATACCATCAATTATATATATACTTTTAATTTCTTGTACAAATTATTGAATTTTGTGTTTATCAAAATCGTCATGAAAGAAATATTAAATGAAAATTAAGATTAACCTAGTAATTTGAAATTGAGATAAGTGTATGATAATTTAAGTTTAATGTTTATTGTCAATGTTATAATATTTTATCGGATAAAAGAAAAAGAGAAATAATAAACATATTATATTATATAATTTTGTTTGATTTAAACATTATATTTTTGATGAATTAATTTTTAATATTTTAATTTTAATTTATTTTTATATATAACAAACATGATTGACACATAAATTTTGTGTAAACTATCTCAACTATATTAAGTGTATGTAAAAGTGTCCTTAAGTGATTGTTTAAAAAAAATACGATACATTAAGTATTTTTAATTTTATTATATAAATAAATAATTATTATTTATTGTTACAAGAAATACTACATATAGTAATATACAGAATGTCATTATAAATATAATATATGTAGGTATCTATTTATTTGACATATAACTATATATATATATATATATATATACACAATTTTAAATGAGATTTAATAATATATTTTATATGTTATTATTATTTATACCTACACTATTTAATAATATATTAATATATATTGAGGAAGAATCATTTTATTCCAGGAGTAAGTTTACTCTGTTTAATAACTCTTTGAAGTTCTTGAAAATAAATGAAATAAGAATTCTTTGAATTTTCTTCAGCAAATTCTTCCTCAAGAGTCACCGAAAGCCTTCATTAGAATTAGGGAACCTTAATTTCCTTTCCTCCTTTTGAAGTGAGCTTTCTTTTGTGTCTTAAGCTAGGATGCTTCCATCTCTAGCCTAGGAACCTTGATCCGTCTTCTACATCTTCCTTAGCTTCATTCAATCAGTGCAAATCTTCAAGAAGTTGATCCTACGCTTGGTGAAGGAAAGGAGAAGCAAATCATCCACTTCTTCATGAACTCCACCATCACCAGTCCTCACAAGATGAAGCGCCTTCTTTCGAGCTTAAGCCCCCCATTAGTCCGAATCGTGGTATATTTCTTCTTTTACCAATTTCTTTCAATGGTTGTAAAGAACTGTCTTTCTTACTTTCTTTTCTCTATACAGATTCAACTGACTCTCCTAAGCCTTTTACTCCTTCTCCTTTGACCCAAGGCGGTGTCGAATCTTCAGTGCCACCACTTTCTTCGATCCCCTTTATGGATTTGGACTTAATAAGTTTTTTCAATGAAGATGATGAAGAAGTCAACAATATTTTTGAAGTTCTTGAAAATTGGACAAGTGGTCCATCTGTCTCGGAGAAAATTCTCGAATCTGTTTCTGAGTCGACTACTACTTTTCAACCCTAGCTTGAATCGTTCCGGTCAAAGGCCTATGTGGATGACCTCGATCAAGCATTCCTCATTCTGGAATTCAAAATCGAAGTTGAGCAGATGGTGGATGATTTTCTAGCCTACCCAAACTTTCCTGTCTTTTTCTATTTCCAGAGCCTCGAGACCTCAAAGAAGCAAAAAGCGGACTCGACCAGTGCTAAGACTGTGAGTGATTCATATTTCTCCTTTTATATTTTATCTTTTCTCACTTTTCTTGTTTCTTCAGATTTCGACCACAAAAAAGCTATATAAAGGAAAGGGGAAACTACAAGCTCCTCTTCCCAAGAAAACTCAGAAACCCCCTGTCGAAAAACTCCTTAAGGATGTTATGAAATTTGTTCCCAAGGTATTTAACTTTTAACTTGACTTCTAGCTTCCATATTTCTTCGATTTCTCTAATTTTCCTTTAATTATAGGATGTCGAGATAATCCAACTCGACTCTTCTCGAGAAATGTCCAAAGATATTCCTCCTGTTACTGGGGAATCACAACAAGTTCGACTTTCACTAATCTTTACTTTTCTATACTTTTCCTTATTCTAACTTCATCATTTTTGCAGTTAGCTACTCCTCAATTGAACATTGTCGAGATGGCTTCGATAGAGATTCCTCCTCAAAGTGATGAAGGCAAGGTTCCTTTGACGGAGCCTCTGGTGAACATGGAAACTCCTCACCAGTCCTCACAAGATGAAGCTCTTTCTTTTGAGCTTAAACCTCCAATTAGCCCAGATCGTGGTATGTTTCTTATTTTATTAATCACTATCCATTGTTGTAAGGAACTCTTTCTTACTTTCTTTTTTCTATCTATGCAGATTCCACTGATTCTCCCAAGCCTTTTACTCCTTCTCCTTCGACCCAAGGCAGTGTCGAATCTTCTGTGCCACCACTTTCTTCAATCCCTTATACTGATTTGGACTTGATCAATATTTTCAATGAAGAAGACGAAGAAGTCAACAATATTTTTGATGTTCTTGAAAATTGGACAAGTGGTCCTTCTGTCTCGGAGAAAATTCCCGAACCTATTTTTGAGTCGACTACAACTTTTCAACCTTTGCTCGAATCATTCCGGTCAAAGGCTTATATGGATGACCTCGATCAAGCATTCCTCATTCTGGAATTCAAAATCGAAGTTGAGCAGATGGTGGATGATTTGCTAGCCTACCTAGACCTTCCTCCTGCTGGTACTAAATTGAAAAAAAAAATATTAGTCAGGTAATTTAAACAATTTTTTAATAAGTAGTATTTCGAAAACTAGCCTAATTTGAAATAGTTTAAACATATTTAAGCCTAATTAATAATATGACATGTTTTATTATGTGCATATTGAAATATAATAAAGTTCATAGAATTTTTTATTTAATATTATTTTAAAATATTATTAGTTAAGTATTATTCATAATACAAACAACAATAATTCATTAAGACATGTATATTTTGGCCGACATTCATTGACATTATGTTCAAGTCTTCACATTTTTACAACGATCATAGGCCTAAAATATTTTTACATTTTAGAAACCCAAGCTCGATATAAAAGTCATTAAGACAAGTATATTTTGGTCGATATTCATTAACATTATACTCTAATCTTCACATTTTTACAATGATCATAGGCCTAAAATATTTTTACATTTTAGAAACCCAAGCTCGATATAAAAGTCATTAAGACAAGTATATTTTGGTCGATATTCATTAACATTATACTCTAATCTTCACATTTTTACAATGATCATAGGCCTAAAATATTTTTACATTTTAGAAACCCAAGCTCGATATAAAAGTCATTAAGACAAGTATATTTTGGTCGATATTCATTAACATTATACTCTAATCTTCACATTTTTACAATGATCATAGGCCTAAAATATTTTTACATTTTAGAAACCCAAGCTCGATATAAAAGTCATTAAGACAAGTATATTTTGGTCGATATTCATTAACATTATACTCTAATCTTCACATTTTTACAATGATCATAGGCCTAAAATATTTTTACATTTTAGAAACCCAAGCTCGATATAAAAGGAGAGAAACTACATGTTTGGGGTTATCTTTTGACTATTTTGAGGACCGAAAAGAAGGAAGAATAAAAGGTTTATCTCTGTTTGTGGAACTTGGAAATTGACATGAAGTTCTCAAGTTTCATGGCTTTTCTTGGTTTACCTTGCTTTTGTGCTTAGTAACACCATGAGTTGCTAAGCCCTTTTTTTGTTTGATGAAGATGAACTTCAATTGAATTCTTTTGTAATTTCCTTTCTATTTATGTCTATTGATTGTTAAAATAATTATTTGTTGATGAATTTATGCTTAAAGCTTGTTTTTGTGATTAACACCCATTAGAACTCATTCTATAACCTATACTTTGTTAGTGTGATTAGTTAATCAGTTAATCAAATCTTATTAATTAGCTAATATGTTAACCAAATCTTATCTTTTATTGTAATATCAATTTATATTCTAGTACTTTTTGATATGGTTGTTAAAAATAACCTTTTTCACTATTATATTAGATATGTATCACAAGCATTGATAATCAATTCATAAAACTATTATTCTGCACATGCGTGCATATTTGTACATGGTATCAGATTTGCCAATAGCTTAACAACTTGTTCTGATCCCAAATTTCTTCTGATGGCTTCCGCAAACACCACCCCCTTGTGAAAATTTCTACTACAATCACCCTTCCTATCAAATTAAACTCCAATAATCATCATATATGGCACACCCAAATCACTCATCTCCTCCAAGCCCATGATCTTTATGGATATGTTATGGAGATATCGTTTGTCCTTCTCCGATGGTTAGTACAAGAATTGACACCACTATCAATCCTGCTCACACTCATTGGAAACGTCAAGATCATTATGTATTTCTTGCTCTCCTTGGCTCATGTGGTCCTAATGCTCAAATTTTCATGACCTCTGCAAGGTCCTCTACTAATGATTGGACACGACTCAATATGCATTATGAAAATTAGTCTCACACTCGTATTATGTCCCTGAATGAGCGCCTTTTATCTATTACCAAAGGCACCTCTAATGTCATTGAGTATCTACATTCACTTCGTGTCATAGTCGATGAATTGGCTTGGTCATCCTGTTGATGACCTCGATCTTGTTATTATTGCCCTTAACGATTTAAGGCCATCGTTCCACGAATTCATAGCTGCGATTTTCACTAGAGACACTTCCTTGATGTTTGATGAATTATTTGACAAATTAATAGATTTTGAAATATTCATGCAGCGGGATGATCGTCAACAACAATCCTTCCCTGCAATTGCCAACTACACGACCCACTCCCACAACACCTTTCGTGGGAAGAAGAAAAATCACTCTCACCTTGGTAATTCTTCAAGTCGAAATCATTTCAATGACAACAGTGAGGGCTCTAAACATCCAATTCTTGTTTGCTAGTATTGTGATCGTAGAGGCCACACAGCCAAAACATGTTATTGTCTT